TGCGCATGTCAGAGCTGGAATCGGAACCCCGGCTGCATGACCCCAGGGAGAATGCCTTCGCTGCCTGCACTGTGCTGCCTTTCATTCTCATTGTGTTTATTGTCTGTGTCCTTCCTCCACATACTCCCCTTCTCTGGATAAAGGTCAATGCCAACAATATTTTGCGTCACTTATTGACATTCTCCAAGTGGACAAAATACCATTGCTACTGTTCCATGAGCATCTTCTGCCTTCTCAGGTCCATTGCACTTTTTCCCAGGTTAATTCTCTTCTCAGTGTAGATTCAGGAGCAGGAATGGAGCTCAGCCTTAACAGAGCCTAGAAGAACCTGGAAGGGTCTTAGAAACCTGGAAACACAAACCCAAACAGTTCTCACTTCCCTTAAGGTCCTGCAACAATGACTTCTAAATTCTTTTTCAGTGTGAACCTCCCTGTGATCATGAAGAATAGTCTTTCCAGAGCCCTCAGGTTGATTCCAGGGAGGTGCCAGCTTCCACTTACAATGCTGAGATGAGATCAACACAGATATGAACTCCTTTTATCCTCATAACAACCCTATGTAGTAGGGACTTTTTCCATTATCAATTATCATCATCCGAATTTTTCTCCATGAATTCATCTAATCTTTATAAGTAAACAATGGGCTTTATGGGCTTCCCTGGTGGCACTGTGATAAAGAATCCACCTGCAATGCAGGAGATGTGGAGACATGGGTTTGATCCCTGGGTTGGGAAGATCCCCTGGAGAAGGAAATGGCAACCCATTCCAGTAACCTTGCCCAGAAAATGCCATGGACAGAGGAGCTTGGCAGGCTACAGTCCATGGGATCGCAAAAGAGTTGGACACAGCTGAATGACTAAACAACCACAACGTCATCCAAATAAGGAAACTGAGGCCCAGAATAGTTAATACATATTTTCTTGCTCAGAAAAGGAAGTTTCAGGATTCAAACCAGACAATTTGATTCCAAGAGTTATACTTTCAGTCACAACCCTCTGAATCCCAAGCCTAGATTTCCAGGGGGAAGAAACGGATAGATTCAGCTTGTGGCAGGAATGGCCCTTGGGGTCCACTGAATTTTACCAGGAATGTGGGGTTATATCGTACAAACATGGTAGCTGAGGTCTAGAAGTCAAGGGGTGATGGAGGGAGAGGGAACAGCTGCTCTCAGAAAAAGTGAACATTGTATGCAGGCATTTACTCAAAAAGGTGTTTAGTACATCTTGCGGGAGAGGAGTTCATAGTTCTTCTTTACTCATGAACCAGTTGAAAATTTGTTGTGGGGAGTTCAAAATCTGTTCCAGGCTACATGTGAGACAAGATTCAAATACAGTCTATCTCATTCCTAAGCCTTATCTTTCTTGTTTTGTTTTTTTGGCCACACGGAGTGGCATGTGGGATCAAACCCATGCCCCCTGCTTTGGGACCGAGGAGTCTTAACCACTGGACCACCAGGGAAGTCCCCTCACTTTGTTATAGTTTCAGAGAAGGATGCCCATGACAGTTGAGAGAATGCAATATGTGGCAAGCTGCACTTTCCAAAAAGGGCTACAACAAATGTCTCCCACATCACAAGATCTTGAAAGATCCACTCTGACATTTCCCCCACTGAGATAAAGGGACTGTAGCTCTCTCCTGGGATTGGGGAGGGCTTGTGAGACTACAGAAGTGGCACTACAGAGCTTCTAATGTAAGGTCATAAAAGCTGGAAGAGCTTATACTGTGACTCTTAAAATGCTCACACTTAGAACCTAGCGACCATGCTGTGAGGAAGCTCAAGCCGCCCATGCAGAAAGACCATACTGAGAAAGCTTGAAAGTACCTAGAGAAAGAGGAATGTCTGCTCTGCTCCAGCTGCTCCAACTCCCACGTTCCAGCCCCACCTGACTGCCATCTCTGCAATCTCATGATTGAACCAGATGAGACCTTCCTAAATGGTTTTAAGATGCTAATCTGCTGGGAGGATGTGTTATATAACCACAGTAACTAGAACAACATATTCTTTTTAAAAAAAAAATAATTTATTTACTTATTTGGCTGTGCCAGGTCTTGGTTGTGGCATGTGGGATCTTCTATCTTCATTGCAACATGCGGGGTCTTTATTTTATTTATTTATTTATTTATTTTTTTTTTTTAATTTTTTTATCACAACCATAGTGTATCTTTTTTTTTTTTTTTTTACATGTATTCCCCATCCCGGTCCCCCCTCCCACCTCCCTCTCCACCCACATGCGGGGTCTTTAGTTGTGGCCTGCAAACTCTTAGTTTTGGCATGTGGGTTCTAGTTCCCTGACCTGGGATGGAACCCAAGACTTCTGCATTGGGAGCATGGAGTCTTAGCCACTGGACCACCAGGGAAGTCCCTAGTACAGCATATTCTGAAGAAAGGTCTTCAGAAGAGCATGAGAGCCATTTTCAAGTGTCTGAAGGGCTGTTGGTGTAGAAGAGGAGTTTAATTTGCAGTGGGGGAAGCTCTAGACGGCAGCGCTGAAATCAACAGTTACAATTTACAAGGAGGCAGATCTGATTCTTCATGGTGGTTTAGTTGCTAAGTCGAGTCAGACTCATGCAACCCCGTGGACTATAGCCTGACAGGCTCCTCTGTCCACGAGATTCTCCAGGCAAGAATACTGGAGTGGATTGCCATTTCCTTCTCCAGGGGACCCTCCCGACCCAGGAATCGAACCCCGGTCTCCTGCATTGCAGGCAGATTCTTTCCCTCTTTAGTAGGAGGGAAGCCCTTGTACGGAGCCCTTCTCTAACAGTAGAATGCTAGAGTCACCCACGAGAGGGCACTCTGCCAGGAAACAGACTCAAGCAGAGGGATGACCACTTGGGGGGAGGGTTGTGGAAGTGTTGTAGGGACGTGCTAAGTCACGTCCAACTCTTTTGTGACCCCACGGACCACAGCACACCAGGCTCCTCTGTCCATGGGATTCTCCAAGCAAGAATACTGGAGTGGGTTGCCATTTCCTTCTCCAGGGGATCTTCCCGACCCAGGGGTCGAACCTGCGTTGCAGGTGGACTCCTTATGGACGGAGCTACCAGGGAAGCCCAGTCTCACGTGAGTTAGGGTGAAAACTGTTTCGAAGAAGAAACACTTGGTAAACTCTTCTCAGAGGAGGTAAGGATTGATTTGGGACTTTCAGGTTGGAGAGGGTGGAGAAAGATGGAAAAACAGAAGGACCACTTGGCAAAAACAAACAAAACCCCAACCAACCAACCGACCAAAAAAAAGAGGAAACTATTTAACCAGCAGTAGCAAATTAACCATGCCCCTCTCACCTTAAGACCTCTTATTTATTTATGCTGTGTTATGGGACAGTATGGGCTTTCCTGGTGGCTCAGAGGATAAAGAATCCGCCTGCAAAGCAGGAGACCGAAGTTCAGTCCCTGGGTTGGCAAGATCCCCTGGAGGAGGGCATGGCAACCCACTCCAGTATTAGACATGACTGAGACTGAGCCACACACACACACACACACACCCTCATGTCCCAGTGGCTGCTAAGTTATTTCACTCTTATCTCCATAGTAAGTCCTGCTTCCTGCATCTTTACCACCTCTGGGTTTGCTCTAGCCATCATCACCTCTTATCTTGATGATAGTCTAGAGTCCGTCCCCGGCTCCAAACCCAAAGTCTCCATTCAGTTTCCCCTTGCCTTTCGAATAAAGTGGAAATTTCTTAGGTATTCCAGGCTTTCGTGATATGACAGAGGATAGGGGGTGGGGTGGGGAGAGAGTCAAGCCCCTACTTGGCACCTGTTGGAGACAGAACGGAACCTCTTGAAGCATCTGCCAACAGTCTGGCGTCACACCTGACTCGGTTCTATTTTTCCCGTCACAGAGTGTGTGTCTGCAGTACTGGATGCGTGACTTTATTCACGTTTTGGCGTGTCCTCCACAGCACCTTGCACACAGTAGGCCCCCAAGACAACTTCGAATGACCTTATGAAAAATTGAATTTCTACATTTAAGCGAGCTAGAAAGATTTCCCCTGATCTCAACTCGGGATTATAGACTCTGTGTACGCTTCAACAGGCCGGGCACCTAGTGCACGCCCAAGAAGCACTTGTTGAACCGCGCAGAATAAATCAGATCCCCCCCTAGTCCCGCCCTGGCAGCGAGGTCGGTCTTTGGCAAGCGCGACCAAAATCCATGGCTCTTAAATTCTTATGTAAGAGTTAATGACCCTCCCAGCCCACACTGGACATCTCTCCCGCCGGAGACGCGCAAGGGCCGGGAAGGAAGCGAGGGCAATCTTTGCAAACACGCTCATTTGGTGGCGGAGGCACGGATTGACCTCCAGCCTCGGCTCAGCATCGGAAAACGCCGCTGCGCGCTGGGCGCGGGCGGGCGGAGGGGGCGGCCGGCCGGTGGAGGCGCATTTCCCCCGGTGGGTAAGGCCTGCCCACCCGGCACGCCCAGGGGCTCCCGGGGGCTGCGGTGACAGCGGCCCCAGAAGGTGACTGGAGTTCAAGGCGGTGCCCGTGGGGTCCCCGCCTGCGCCGGGGGCGCGGGGGACAGGCCGGGCCCCCGGGGGGAAAGCGAACGCCCCGATCCGGATCGCAGCGGCGCCCCCAGCCCCGCGCGCCGCCCGCCGCCCGCCGCTCCCGCCCCGGGTGCCGGCCGGTCGGGTCTCCGGGCGCCGCGAGGCGGGGAAGATGGCGGCGCGGCCCGGCCCGGGGCGGCCGCGAGGGGCGGCGACGCTGTGCGCGCGGCTGGGCCGGCGCGGCTAGAGCAGTGCCTGGGCCCGGGCGGCGCGGCCTCCTCCCCGCCCGCCGCCGCCGCCGCCGCCGCCGCGGCCGCCGCGCCCCGCCCCGCGCGCCCGCCCGCCCGCGCGCCCGCCCCTCCCCGGGCCCGGCCGTGCCCCGCGTCGCGCTCCCCCGGGATGGCCCGCGCGCCTCGGCGCTGCCTCGCGGAGCTCACGGTGGAGCGGCGGCGGCCGCGCTCGGGGGGCGCGCGTGCAGGGGCCGCCTGGGGGCCGTGCGGGCGCCGCCAACATGTCGGATACCAAGGTAAAAGTTGCCGTCCGGGTCCGGCCCCTGAACCGACGAGGTGAGCAAGCTTTCCGCTCCTTTGCGCGTTGCGATCGGGGCTGAGGGCGGGGGCTGGGGGGCAACTTTGGAAAACTGCGGGGCCGCGGGGCTGGGGGCGGCGGGAGCGGGGAGGCGAGCCGGGCCCGGGGTCGCTCCGGGGAGGAGGCGGCGGCCGCGGGGACCCGGTGCGCCGGCTCCCGGCTCGGGCCGCCTCCCGGGGGAGAGCCCCGCGCGGGCGCGCAGAGGCGGGCTGCGGGAGCGGATGCTCGGCTCTGCAACGCTGTGCCTCCCCTTTTGCTTTCAGAACTGGAACTCAACACCAAGTGCGTGGTGGAAATGGAAGGGAATCAAACGGTCCTGCACCCTCCTCCATCTAACAGCAAACAGGGAGAAAGGTAAAAGCGGGTGCAGCCCCACCGCCTCCTGCAAGTTTGAGCCAGGAAAATGGGAGTGCTCTTTCCTATTGTTAGGAGGACGGCTTCAAGTTTGTCGCACGCTCCCGTCTGAAGCTGTTGCAAGTCCAAGTTCCTCTCTGCCCTCCCTCTGCCCCCCTCCCGCTTGTCCCCTCCCATCTAGAGGCAGGACTCCCCGGGCCAGAGCCGGGACCAGTCCGCTGTCCCCGGCCCGCGGTGAGACACCCCGAGCGGGCCGGCTGGGACCCTCGAGATGATGGTCCCATCGCCACATTTTACAGATGAGAAAACTGAGGCCTGAGGCGAGGAAGTGACCACCCAAGGCCGGCACCGTGGAACCCGGTGCCCTGGTTCTTTCCACCCCTGCGGTGTTGGCTTTATTTGGCAGACTAGTTAAGGAACTTTGTGTAAAATAGGGAGTGGGAGGGAACCCCCTCCCGCCCCCGCAGTAAAGCAAAACAGTTTTGTACGATGCAGGCTCAGGCCTGGACCATTTAAGATCTATTATTTTGTTGGTGCTGGGTTGAGATAATGTCTGAATGTAATGCGCGAATTTTGATTTTCAGGAAAACAAAAGTAGTGCCCGGAGCTGTGTAGACACTGGGGGGATGTTTAAGAGGGGCCGCATTTACTAGATGGCAACATATTTGCATTTGAAAAGTGGTAACTGTTGGATCCTTATTAATTCTGCTCTATTCCACGCAACAGTATGGGAAAATGCCCTAAAATAATTTGAATATTTGGCATTTTTCTGGTAAGCCCCTGAGAAGAAAACGGTTGGAATTCATTCAGTAAAGCAGTGCAGTAGCTTGGAAAAATAGGAACGAGAAACCAGAGAGATTTGAAAAATTAACTCCTCCGGAGTGAGTTTGTGTTTCTAAAAGTCACCTGTTACCTGTTGATTGATGTGATACAATTTAGCGATTTTTTTGCTCTCTGGAGATTTTTTTTTTTTTTTTCACTGAACAGCAACTCTGAAGTAGGGTTTGTTACTTTATTGCTAAAGGAAGCAACTGCCTTCATTCTATAATCATGCAGTGTCCAGGCATAGTTTACTAAATTTGGGGGAAGAAATTATCAGGAGGTGAGTTTGAGAATTTTTTGCTTTTTGAGCTGAGGCTAGACATTTTTATCTATGTGCAGATTGTTACGGTGATAGTAAATAGCTAAGTTATATTTAAAATGTATTAAATGCTTTTTAACAGTAATGGTTGTATCCTTGGATAATATTTTACATATTTATAGTATTTTAGATCCATGTATAGCAATATAGTTGTATATTTCATGTTAATAGCAAGTAAACTCATTGAGTAAATTAAGAAATTTACAGATTACATTGGCTGCCTAGATCACCAGTACATTTCCCCCATCCCCTCACCCCCAAACTGAATATTTTCACATATTTCAGAAAAAAATTCTGCTGGGTCAGATTCTTCAAAGCAGTCTAGGAAACAGGTAGAATTGTCAACTCCTATGTTTCTGTGGCTTCTATTTTCCTTGCTGGTTTGGCACCTGCTTCTTGCCACTCTTAACCATAAGGATTGTTACTATTAGCTACTATTTGATGTTATGAAGCTTTGTCCATTGTGGACAAACAGGGATTTAATTTTGTGGAATGTGGATAGACTTTACAACTGCAGACACTTGGCTGGAAAGGCTAAATAATCAGTTGATCATTTTTAGGGCCACCACAGTCGTTATTAATCAGAATCTTTTAAGTAGTGATTTGAAGGGTGATTTGGGGATTTCTCCATATGCTTGCTTCTTGGAATAGCCAAAAATCTGGAGCTATAATAGCGCTGAAACGTGTTCTGACCTCCTGACAGAATTCTTTGAGTGGTGGATGGGCTCTTTGTGGGTTTTGCCTAGGTACCTGTCATTCAGTTTATAGACAAACTGGGAGGATTCAGCCCAGCAGTACTGCTTGCACGTTAGGATTACTGTCTTTGCAAGGATGGAGACATCAAATGCGTTTTGATTTTCATTATGCAGCTTGGTTTCATCTTTCTCCAGTGGGTTTTCCCTTAAAGCAACAGTGCATTTAAAAATAGACACAGTTTCTCCCTTGAATTCTAGGTTGATTAATTGCAACAATGCTTCTTGTTATGTTTGCAATTCATTTCTTTCATTTGTTTTGGAATCGAGCTCAGAGCAAGGTGAGACTAGTATATTTCTTACCTAGAAGTCCAAGGCTTGAAGTGTAAGAAGTTTTTAAATGAATCTTGGTAAACCTTATCAAGTTGAAATAGCTGTTTTTCCAAATATTGCAGGAAATTACTAATGTATTAGTGGTGATTGGAATTTTAAGTTACTTGGTCCAAGTTTTCAGTCCTACTAGTAAAAACAAGCAAGAGTACATTGGTTTCCAGGAAGAAACGGAGAGGCTTAGCTTTCATAATTTCCCCCTTTATGGAATCAAAGTCAAGACTACATGTTAAGGTCTAAAAGATCAGAGGGCTTCTGACGTTAAAGATGTTGGTTTTGGTCCTAAAATTCTAAGATTATAATGTACCACAGAAGTCTAGATTAATAGTTGATAGTTAATAAACCATTCTGAAACATTAAGAGTTATATGGATAGGTTTCTTAACATACCATTCCATTACAATGCAGGAAACATGTATGAAGTTCATTATGAAGTTCAGATCATGCAGGTGCCATGCTCAGCATGGGGGATCCAAAGACCACTGTGGACCCAGAGCCTATGCCGGAGGCTCACACCTTTGAGAGATGTGAGAAGAGAGAAGTAAAACTAGTTAAAATATAGTGCGGTAGATCATTTAGCTTATGCTTTTGCCATTATATATACCATATCCCTTGAAAATTGCCTGTTTCCTCTTCTGTCTCCTCTCCTTTCGGTTGTGAGCTCTGGGAAGGCAGGAACCTTGTCCTACTGACTTTTGTCTTCCATACCTACCACCACACCTGGCACATAGCAGACCCTCAGCAAATGTCTGCATGGTGATGGTTTGCACCGTGATGGGAATGCTGAGGAGGGGCTGTGGACGTGACTTGGGGTCTTGGCATCCTGTAAAGACAGGTGGCATTTGTGCTGGTCATCGGGGGTGCTAAGAGTGCAGGTTCACTTTTTCAAGATCGGTAGAAAGTCCTTAGTCAAAGAAACTGAAAGCATACCTGCCACAGATTACTTCTGGCTGATTGTGTGTGCGTGCGTGCAGAATGTGAAGCAGGGTGCCGGAGCCAGGCAATTCAGGAAGGAGGACAGAATGAGAACCCTTAACTTGCCAAAATATGTAATAGTTTAAAAATCAAAGTATCCATTGCAAAGTCTTCCTCTCATTCCTGCTGTCATCCTTACACTTTATATCCTCTCACCTCTCCCAAAACAAAAAAGGTGATCTCTGTTATTGATTTCCCATGCATACTTTCAAATATACACACAAATATATATATATATATTTTCCACAAATATCTTTTCTATCCTTTAATAACAGTAGGTTGACTCCTTTAAAAAAAAATCCAGTATGGGTTGTAGTTGTGGTTTTAAAAACATACATGTTCGTGTGTGATCAGTCATGTCTGACTCTGCAGTCCTGTGAACCGTAGCCCACCAGGCTCCTCTGTCCCCAAATCCTGGTAAGAAATAACTGGAGTGGGTTGCCATGCCCTCCTCCAGGGGATCTTCCCAACCCAGGGATCTAATGCATCTCCTGCATTGCAGGTGGGATTCTTTACTGCTGAGCCACTGTGGAAGCCCATAAAAACTATATATACCCATGTATATATCAGTCTGATCTTTGTAGCTTTTAGGAAGTGAAGCTTTATCATCAGAATGTAATGGAACTTGCTTTGTACAGAAATTTTTGTTCTTGATTGTTTTAAACCAAGTAAATTGTAGGGTAAGCAACTGAAGCAGTGTGCATATATAACCTAGCTAAGTTAAAAGAAAAATTGGATAAATTTAGGCTCTTAGTAAAAGAGCATCAAAGTTTTAACTTCTGGCCCAGTTTCTCCATATTGGAAGGTAGGCAGTGTAGCTTACAAGGTACACGAAGGTTGGTCAATGGAAGAAAGCTATGGCTTGGTCGATTCGACTGCATCTATATTTTCCAGTTTATGGATTATATGTTGCCAGTTTTTGATTGTTTATTCCCCCAGACTGGTTTCCCCTGCTACTACAACAGTTTCTAGGATGGTTTCTTCTCCTCAAGTAAAACTGTAGAGTGAAAATGGAAAAGTTAGTTGAAATCATATCAAATGAAAAAGATCCATCACCAAAGAATCAGTAATATTCTACATTATCTAGGTGACTTTGAGTTTTAGTGTATTTTCTGTGTTGTTATTCTTCTCTATGGCTCAGTATTACAAAGTTGATTATAAGAAAGCAGAGTATTTAGATTTCACTAATATAGGAGTGAGCATTCTTCATGCATGATATCAGTGGTATTTTGAAGAATGTTATAATGGAATATTTTCATTAGATGTCCACGGTTTCCATTTTTGTTTTAAAATAGATTGTCATCTCTCACTTTAAAAGACAAGCCTAAAAGTAATTATAATGTACTAAAGATTAGTGACTTAAAATTATTTTGTTCACAGTTAAAAATGTATTTTACATTATGCACTGTTGTGTGCACCTATATAAAGGTTCATGAAAAAATTTACCATGTGCAATATCTCTTATTTTTCTACCCCTTTCTGTTCTCATTCATTTTAGAAACAAACCTGCTAAAGGGTCACAAGTTTATAATCTGAAAAATACAAGTTTAGTGGGTAAGACTTTGGGTTCTGCATACATACATATGTATAAATATTTTAAATCAGTGTAAATGCTTTGAAGTGTGGAGTAGTTTTATAATTTATAAAGGCTATGCCTGATGCAGCTATCATCCTGGGGGTTCCTGCCACATCATTCTGAGAATTCCTTTTACAGACTCTTTTCTGTGTGGAATCTCTTGTTTTTCTGTTTCTCTTTTCTTTCTTTCTTTGCTGCCTCAGTTTTGTAGAGCATATCCTTTGGTT